AGCCACACTAACCTGTCGTCATCTGTTGCCCTGTTGAAAACATCAAGAGAGAATTCCGACAACGTCCCATCTCTACACTAATACCAGAGTCGCACACCGTAGGAACTTTCGCATTCGTCAAAAGTTTAAAGTTATCTAGAGTACGCTCTAGACGTTCTCCAGCACGTGGCAGCGGATGTAGTTCCGATCGACGCTATGTTGGCGATATGCCGATTCTCGTCCACAAGTAGCATCATGATAGTGCATGTTTAAACTTCCCGCCCACAAATACCATCAAGATCGTGGATGGCTAAACTTTGTCGGAGCCATGAACTCGGGAGCATCTCCGCAGATGGTGTTTAAGATCCTTTAACTATGCCTCATGAGCCAGCATCTGTGTTTTGAGCAGCACACAGTCCAGCCTCGTGTTCGCGAGCAACACTCATTTGCTAGTAGAGCGCCTCCAGTCCACGCCATGTTGAACGATCCTTACCGACCCGGTGTCGTGAGCGAGCCTTGGGGACCACTCATCTCACCCGATTACACAGAAGACGAATTCACCAATCTTGATGTCCTTGTCGCTTCCATTCCATGGGCCCTCACGTTGGCAAACGTCATACTCGCTTTGTGGCAGATCTATCACCAAACCAAATTGGCAAAAACTCCGATTCGAAGTCCTTATTTATGGATGGCCTGGTTGGAGCTAGGGGCTTGTTTCGCGTTGGGTCTTGTTGGTTACCTGCATGTGCTGAAACACATTCCAGCGAGTGAGTATCATCCGCGCCCTCGAAGACACTATGCTGATAGTTTACAGGTTTTGCTTTCTACTTTGCAATTTGTAAGTCGCATTGATCAAACTGATCCTACCACAACTGTACTGATTCTGCATAGTGACTTTCTGGAGCTTTCAGGTCATGCTTCTTTTCCAGATTATCGTCAATCGCATCAGAGTTATTGATGTTAATCGCATGCACGGCGACCGCATCTTCATCGCAGTAACTGTCTATATCACGATAGTCATTATCAGCGGCTTCATTATCTGGATCCCAGCCCGGATGCAAATAAGCCACTATTGGGAGTTCATCAGCGCGGCTTGGGATCGCACTGAGAAGTGTCTATTCCTCATTATCGATTTGGCGTTGAACTGGTACTTCTTGAGAATGGTGAAGAACAACTTGATCCGCAACGGTCTCACAAAGTGTAAGCCAGTTCATGCGCATGCTACACTACAAGGTTAGTGCTGACAGTCATACTTACATTCAGACAACAAAATCGTACAATTTAACCAGCGCATCATCGTTCTGTCGATTCTAATGGATGTTATGCTTATCGCCGCTACCGCTATTCCCAAAGCCTTTGTGTAAGTCACTCTTCACCATTGTGTCTAGTCCTGTTTTAACGATTCGTCATCTCAGCTACGTCCAATTCCACTCGCTGTGCTACCTCGTCAAACTCAACATCGAAATGGCCATGGCCAACCTGATTAGACGCATCGCCATCTCGAACTTCAACCGCACCGGTGCAGTACACGAATTCAAGGACCCATCAACCGATGCATCGGAACCTTATAGCAATACTTTCGCCTCCACCCGGGGCAGCGTCCAGCTCGGCAACATCGGCAAGACCGCCAATGCCTATGACTGCAACATCAAGGCCACGACACAATACACCGTGACTTCAGAGCCCAGTTTATCCCCAAAGGATAGTCGACGGCCTTCACATGTCGAGGTGGAGATCTCGAAGGGGCACACGGACAACTATGGCGCGATGAACCGACCGGTGATTGTCATTGAAGAACCGGAGACGAAGAGCTTGGACGGCGCGACAGAGGTCGCAGAGAGTTACCATACTGACGATGAGGCTGTGCTCGTAAATAAGAGGGGCCATTGGTGATTTGGATTTTGTTGATGTCTTCGCAATACTTGCTTCAATGAGGATTACAATACAACTCGACCTTGGAAACATTCGCATCGCGGCGAATTGCCATACAGAAATACCTTCAATTGACTGGCTCTCCAGGACACCGTCACCCGTACCAATTGTGGCAGCTTTGAGCCTACTTTAGGGTTACAGTATACTTGTCCATAACTTCAATGAAACTAGTGGGTTGTGCCACCACAAGGATGCTGGGATATGGTGTGCAGCCGCTACAGGAGGAGCAATTTTGGTCATTTGATGAGGATGGCAGTGGTAAGACCATCGTGTTCCATAGTCTGGCTAGATTGTCGTTTTATCTAATTGTAACGATAACGAGCGATATCGCCAACGCGTGATCATGCCCAAGTCTCGTACTTTGACGCACAATATCCTACAGGTCCATGGCTCCATCGAGGACTGACATCATCGTTATCAAACCGAACGATCGGAGATAATATTGAGTGCTTCTTGCCATACGCCGTATCGTTGAAAGTGATCATGTATCCATCACGGCGCAGAAGGTCCGAATGGCTTGACCAAGCCTCCCCAAGGATGTAGAGAAGATCTTCCACATGCAGGTCTGGTGTCATGGGTTTGAAGCCATACTTGTCCTGGATCCTCTTCACTGTATCCGGCGAATACAACCCAAATGCCTCTCCCAGTTGTATCACATCCACCGACGTTAGGACTGAGGTGGCGTGATACAATCCGCCCTTAGTTGCGCGATCACGTAGAGCAAGGAGAACGTTGACGACACCGACCGCGCCAGCTAGCATGTCGGCAACGGGAAGAGCAGGGAGCACACTGACACCGTCTTCGAATCCATAAGCTTTGCCACAGACATAAGAGCATCCAGAAGCGGCATCGGCAATCTGCTGGAATCCTGGGCGTTCTGCGTAGTAGCCGTCCGGTCCATAGGTATTGAGATCAATGTAGACGATTCCTTTGTTACGTTGCCTCGACATCTCGACCAAGTCCTGTAGCCCGAAGCCCTTCCGCTCGAGAGAGCGTAGCCTGAACGCTTGGATTATTACATCCGCATCCGCCATAAGGTCAGTCAAGGCTTGCCTGTCGTCCTCCTTCTGAAGATCCAACGCATATGTACGTTTACCGGCGGTAAGCGTGATACTCAAAGGCTAGTGAATGTCAGATCGATGTAATTATAGAGCGTAGAGCGCCTCGTACTTGCAGATCGGGGAGATCGGGGCTTTGAACTTTGATGACGTCCGCACCCAGGGCTGCAAGAGCCGCTCCCATTGCTGGACCAGCGATCACGCGGGCTAGTTCAACAACCTTGACGCCGGCCAACGGGCGAGCATCACCAGTCTGTGGAAAAGGTACGGGTGGCAATGCCGAAGTGCCCTTGACCTGCGCGTAGTCGATCAAAGGATGCGTAGCCAGTCGCTTGCCCATCGACGTTTCTCCCCAGTGTTGTGGTGTGAAGCAAGTCTGTCCGCAAAATCCGTTCTCCATGTTTTTTATGTCAAGTTCGGCGGCTGAATACTTGGAGATGGTGGATTTGATCAGCTCATATGCCTCTTCTCTGGTGCCAACGGGGGCTTCTCCGTCGATATCGTAGGCCCTGAAGAATGCTGGGGCGTTGAGGTTACTCATTACCTGATACCAGACGCGAGGATCCCGAGTCGGGAAGATGGCCCACGAGCGAATATACATGTGATTCTTGCTGACGCAGCCCTTGTCGACATCCAGACTGGCTTTTGTAAGGGTGCCATCGGTCTTGACATCACCGAGTCCTTTACCGTCGATGTCGACGAGGGCTACGGTGGCAGGGTACAGACCACACTTGTCAGTGTCGATGTGAATTTTACCCGTTTGGATGCCTTTAAGTGCGCTGATCTCTTTGGCAACAATGCCGATCATGGCATGTAGAACGGCGGACTACGCAAAGAGAGTGAGCAAATTGTGAGTTTTGAAGTTTAGTGAGGAATGAGTACGCACAAAGACCTGCGATTTCAAGGGTCCTGGGATGATGGGTAGTTCTCCCCCAGAGAATTCGACATCATTCAGGGCAGCCTCCTCAGTCGTGAAGCCAGGTGTGATACCAGCCAGGTGTTTCAGCAGCCTACTCGCATCGGCAGGCACACCAATGAAGTCGCGATCAACGAATGTTCCAGGGCCAAAGGTGTCCTTTGTCGTTTGATGCACAGCCATGACGAGGGTATACAATCGTGCTTGGAGAACGTTGATACTAGCTAAGTGGTGAAGGAAACGAAGAGAATGCTTCTCTGAGAAGTAAAAGGATGTTCAGGGAGGAATTCTGTAGACATTGATGACATTTATAGTGTATGGATGAACTGCTTTTTTGAGAAAGAACCAGTGTGTAACGATACCTGGGAATCCGCAACCAGTCGTATTGGGAAGGGTAACATTCCATTGGCGGCTGTGGCTTACGCCCGTAGACGGTAGTAGCATCTTCGAACGTCGAAGTCTTGATGCCAGCTGCAGCGTCTAGGCTGCGCCTGCAGAACAGAATATCGGCACGTTGGGTGAGGCCCGGGGGAGCCGATCGAACCACGTGAAGAGCTTTGGCCTCGGTTGGGCCCCATTCCCGGCTCAACGTCCCATTGGCTAACGGTCCATCTTGCCTCGGCACCGCCAATTGGCTCTCATCCATGGATTGGCTGGGACGGTGCTCAGTCTGTTCTACTATCAAGTGATGATGATGTTTGGAGACCAAACCTTGCATGATGCAACGTGCGATGTCGTAAACTCTTTAACAAAACTCGGCCGACCTTTCGGGCGAGCCATGGGAAGATCCGATGCGACTCTGCTTGCAGCTCATTTGCAAGCAATACTCCTCAGTAGGTCATTTAAGCGGATATACTATGTTGACGCTGTTGAACTTCGTGCGAAAAAGAAAGGCCTGTACTAACGCTGGTCGCAGCTTCCCGGCCCTCACCGTGTAGGCACACCATCTGCATGTACACCTCCATGTAACAGCCCGGCCGATACGTACCAAAGTCGATTCAGTTCCTGCGATCGCATTAAAGGGACGATGACCCCCATCAAGTAACCATCCGATCTTTCCTCACAGACCTTTCCAACCATCCTTCGCAGTATTGGAACTCTGGTATCTTTCGAATATGTCCATTCGTACTGTCGGTATTGTTGGCACTGGCGTGATTGGAGCATCGTGGACCGGTCTCTTTCTCGCTCATGGCCTGCGTGTGATTGTTGCAGACCCGGCACCTGGCGCAGAGGAGAAACTGGCGTCCTATTTGGAGAGTATCTGGCCTGCGCTAGAGACCATGGGTCTTGATGATAAGTAATTGCAACACTAGACTCATCCGGTGTGCCACAAGCTGATTCGGACTCTCCATACAGCGCTTCTCTTTCGAACTACCAGTTTGTAGGCGCGACTCTAGGCAGACACTACAAAGACGTGGACTTTTTGCAAGAGGTGAGTGTATATAATAAGCTGCTCTACGAGTTCACCAGCTAATAGGATGGCACAGAATGCGCCCGAAAGGACAGATCTTAAAACCAAACTTCTTGCCGAGATCGACGCGGCTGTTCGACCAGATGTTGTCATCGCCTCTTCATCTTCAGGAATTCCAAGCTCGAAATTCATCAGCCAATGTCAGCACCCTGAACGAGTACTCATTGGCCACCCGTTCAACCCACCCCATCTCATGCCACTTGTAGAAGTCGTCCCACATTCAAACACAAGTGCGTCAGCTATCTCGAATGCAATGGACTTTTACGAGTCCGTGGGACGGCGTCCTGTTCACATCAAAGAGGAAGTACCCGGTTTTGTCGCCAACCGTCTTCAAGCTGCCCTTTGTAATGAGGCATACAGCCTAGTGGCTCGTGGTGTAGTCACCGCCCAGGACCTTGGTGCGTCTCTCGTTTTCCCCATGTCTTCCTTGGTTTGCTGACCATAGGTGCCCAGACGCTTGCGTCACTACTAGTCTGGGGCCTCGGTGGGCCATGGTTGGGCCATTCCTGGCGAATGCAATGGGAGGAGGCGGTGGCAGTGAAGGGTTTAAGCACCTTCTCGAGCATCTAGGACCTGCAAGCCGAATCTGGGTTGAGGACATGCAGGAACACAAGTTCGACTGGTCACAGGATAGCATTGATGCCTTAGGTTCAAGCGTTTCCGACGAGCTTCAAGGTAAAGACGTCCAAGAGCTCGAGCAAAAGCGGGATAACGACCTCGTCAAATTCTTCAAGATTAAGGGCGTGAGGCGTACAAGCTTCCATGGTATTGCGCTTTAATCCCATCAAACCCGTAGCACGAGTACCATCTTTGTCAAGCACAATGTTTTCTAGTGTTCACGTAAGGTCCCGGAGTTTCGTAAACTTCCAGTTCCCCTCATGTTCACCTCACTCCACCTCAACACAGTAAGCAACGTTCATGACTTCGTATGCACATTCCTCACTGCGTTAGACATCGAGAAGTCCTCGTATGCTCTACACAGATATATTTTTACTCTAGTAATCATCGAAAGGTCCCCTGTGTGCCCAACACATACGCATTTGCCACTCTTGATCATCAAGAAGTCTCCTGTATGCCCCACAGTTACCTGCGGCATTCGCCAGATTTCCCAGCCATGCGCATGTAGTAGCCTCGTACATAAGCTTCGCCCATAGTGCCGCACTACTACTACGACGTCTACTACGAGACCCTTCTAGCCACATCACAATTGCGCAGGCAGCAGCGACCGTGCCACATACCACTTCACCTATCTGATGCTAGCGCAAGGCCTCAGCGGTGGAGATACCACCCTATACTAGCGTCTTAATGCGCTGAATAAATTGCCTTTATTTACTACTTCACCTTTGCCTACGCAGCCATTCCACAAGCCAAGCACGTCTACCAACGCTCACTCATACGTACACAACTACCCAAGCCACCCCTCATCTCTACTTTCCCCGCCACTATGGAACAAATCACAAAGTTCGTCGACCACCTGTACACGTACCCAAGAGTTGACCAGCTCCACGCGTACCCTGAAGATTGGGATGACAAGTCGCAAGAGGATAAAAAACAGTTTATGGAACAATTTCTGGAGCATTGGGGCTACACGATTTACAGAACATATTATGGCCCTGGCTCTGATGAGCAATGGACGAAGCTGCTCGAAACCATCGCCGACGGTGTGGGAAAAGGTCTCGCTGAACTGGAGGAGGCGGATAAGAAGCCTGACGCTGTTACGAAAGCAAGAGATTGGTTTCGACTTGATGCACGCTCCCTTCCTACTACCTTGAACGGATTGACACTGGAAGACCTCCGGCAAGTGTATCGGGAAGGAATTGGGGGCCAACCGATGAGGGGGCTACAGCGTAACAACTGGGGTACTACCATCTTTCTGTTAGCGGATGCCCAAGTGCTACAAGATCCTGACCTCAATCTGCTGAAAGTTGCGGACGCGAAGTACGACCCTGTTGCTGCTGTACCTAAGAACTCCCGGGTTGGTCCACAGCGATACTTTGGATGGTTCACTATACCAACGACAGCCGTTTTGGACTTTTACAATTGGATGGATATATTCACATTTGAGCAAATCTCCAGCCATGCATTGCCAGGAACACACTGGGATGTGGGATGCAAATAAATGGAAATGATAGACTACGTCTAGGTATAGGAGACGGGTAGAACAGAGAAATTGAAGTTACAGTCACTATGAGAGGGCAGTTGCAACGCTCACCAAGCGCAGGCATACCCAGGACCAAAGTGTATTTGAGTGAAGTGTATTAATGCAAGTCTACCAACCAATCCCACGACGAACACCGTCTTTACCGACTTCCATGTCTTGGTAGTCTCATTCAACGTCCATATTACGACCTACTTCCATCTCTTCGCTCATCGCAATCCAAATAATTATTCCGAAACCATTCAAAGATACCCAGTCCAAGTAACAAGCCAAGCATACGATCAAAAAACGAAGGACCGTTCCGAGAAGCTCCTTCTGGTAGCCTCTGTTTTCTCTGCTCTTTCTTCTGCCCTTTCTCCCGCCGTCCCTGCCGCTGCGTCCGCTCGCGGACGCTTTCAACATCATGCACCAGACTCCGTACAACCTGTTTCGCCTCGCGCTCAGATACCTCATGTTTTGCAGCAAGTTGCTTGATGAGGAGTTTCTTTATCAAATCCGCCCTTTCGCGGCGGGCAGCTTCGAGGCTCTGGGTACGAGCATTGTAGTTTTTCTCGCTGTCGGCGCCGGAGTAGTCTGTTGGCGCGGTGGCTGCCCGTGTGAGGTAGTATTTTTCTATCGCTTTGACTAATTTGTCGTCTGGCAGGAATGGCCCTCCGGTAAGAGGCGCTTTGAGGTAGACCCGTTCGTGTGCTGTGAAGGGGCAGGTGGCGCAGTGAAGTGCTGGATTGTGGACGATGTGTTTTGCAACGGGTTTCGAGACGGGCGTTGCAGAAGAGCACGCCAGTCGCGTTTGTCGCGAAAGTGGTCTTGAGGCGTTCAAGATGCGTGTGCGCATCATGGGTAGAAGAAACGACATTATGATGAGACTGGGTTGTTTTGATACTTAAGACGACCTCGGGAGATGATTATGGGTATGTGAGCTGGTTGTAGAGTTTTTATGTATTCCATGTAGGCAGCAGGATAATATTTATCCGGTCGTGACAGTCATCTGGTTCTCTGCGGTTTTCCGTTGTAGTACCACGGTTCCAGAGAAGACACTCCGCCAACCTTGACGCATCGGAAGGAACCGGCTTGGATGTTACTAATCTATCCCCCCACACAGGCTATGGTAGTAATCGCGTATAAAAGAGATGTTCGCGGAGATTCAGTGTGTATACCATCTACATACACTGGCTGGGCCGCCGGGTTGGCGGACGCGCTTGTAGATGATGCGCTCAGAGACAAGCTTGATAATCAGGTAGATGTTCAAAAGACATAGTGCGACATGCAGTAAAGGAACAAGAACAAGCTGTAGCCAAAGGGAGGCAGGCAAAGTCGCCAAACCAACCACTTCTCCATTCATCACCACCACTATCTAGTATCTACTACTTCCACCAGACTCTACATGCTTTCTAAGGATATCATAGCTCTCGCAATATACGCTCACCAACAAACCAACGCAAGCGAATGACAAGAAAAAATGCTGTAGAAAGATGCATGCTTATGTGACTGACGTCTATCCAAACGATCATCATATACACAACCAAAAAGGAAACCACCGGGACCCGCCCAAGCAGCAATGATGATGCGTGAGTGGATGACCAGTGGGAAGAGAATAGACAACGTTCCCCTGTCCGTCATATACACATCCACCTCTTTCGCAAGCAAGGGGATGACAAGCCTACAAGAAAGGCAGCACAACACCCTTCCTCATCGGACTCCCCCTGCCATCCACCGTGCTGCCCTCAGCACTGTATCCAGAATCGCGATCAACGTCGTCATTGTCAAAGTCGATGTCGAAATCCGGTTCTTTCTCCTCCTCAGCTTCCTCGCCGTCCTCGTCACCGTCCCACGCTTTCTGTGTCGCGCCGCGCGAGTTCCAGCGTAGCGTGCGGCTGATGCTATCGAACCACTCTGTGGGCTGGGAGAGGACAGTGGGGAAAGGGTATTGGGAAGCGGCAATGGTGACGTGGTCGCCCTGGCGGAGCTCGACGCGGCCCTTGCCGTCGAAGGCGCAGTAGGCGGTTGCGCGCGACTTGAGGGGGACCGCGATGCGGAGGAGCATGCTGTCGTTGAGGAGCATGGGGCGGAAGGAGAGGGTGTGCGGGCAGATGGGGGTGAGGAGGATGGCGGGGATGTCTGGGTGCACGAGCGAGCCGCCTGCGGAGAGGGAGTAGGCGGTCGAGCCTGTGGGCGTGGAGAAGATGACGCCGTCGGCTTGGACTACGGTCAGCAGGTTGTTGTCGCCGTAGAGCTCGAGGTTCGAGACGTAGGGCGATGGGCCGCGGTCGATGACGAGCTCGTTGAGGACCTCGAATTGCTCGGCTTCAATGTGCGATGGTGAGCCTTGGGCCGCGGCGTTCTTCTGGTACCGGTATACCGTGCATGTGAAGCGCATGCGCAGGTTTACGCGCATACCCGTTTCGCACATGATCTTGTCGAGCGCGGGCCTGTACTGTGCGAACTCAAAGTTGGTGAGGAACCCGAGGCTGCCGAGCGAGAAGGAGAGAATCGGTGGCACGATACGCTGGAAGAGCCACGAGGTGAAGAGTACGGTGCCGTCTCCACCGAGAGTGAGGACAAGGTCGAAGATCTCAGGGGTTTCCCAGCATAGATCTGGTGTCCACCAGCGGAGCATGTTCTCGTAGCGCTTGTCCTTGGCCAACAATGAGGCTGCGTCGAAGCGCTTCGACTTGCGCAGCTTGTGGTCTACGTAGACATTCACTCCCACGTCTGAGCCGTAGCGGGAGGTCGTCATGAGCCATTCTGCCAATTCGCGCGTGAGGTATACAAGGTTGTTATCGCGCGCCTTGGTGACAATCATGACATTGCGCACCGTCATCTTGATGGGTCGGCGCTGCAACTGCTTCGAGACCTCACGGACGCTGTTCGCCGTCTGCATGAGCCTCGAATGCGATATCGTGTCGTCCTCGGCATCGCTCATCTCTTCCATGACCTTTCCAAGGTTCACGGCCTTGTCAAACTTCTTGTGGAAGAAGCATGGTGATGCGAGCGCAGCCATCTTGCTGGCGGAAAGGTCGGCCGAGTGCAGTTCCAGCTCGTTGAGCGCCTTTGCGAGTTGCGAGTGCGTGATGCTCTTTGAGCGCGCACTCTTCCCTGCGCTCTCCATTATAGCGGTGTCCATGGACTGTGACGTCGATGATGGTGGTGGCCGAGACTGCAACGCCTTAAGAATGGTCTGGCGGGGGATCGCAGAGTCGATGGAGCAGGCGTTCTTGCGGTGCTTCCGGATGCGATGCTCGCCAAAAGAGGGCACGCGCGGGAGGACGGAGAGGTTCTCGATGGACGAGGACTTGGTGATAACGGTGGGGTCGTCGTTGCGGGAGGATTCGTCCGATGTCAGACTGGCTGGATCTTGTGTTGCAGCGGGCGTACCGCCAATTTCTTGCGTTACTACCGATGCATTATACGGCGCGTCCTGGGGGCAGTGGACGCTGGTCTGCGGAGGCTGTGGAGACTCTGGGCGGGTGGGATTATTAAATGAGGCATCGGCATCGACGGGGTTAAGGTCGGAGAAACTTGAGTTGGGCGCCTGTGGGGACAGGAGCGGATGAACCTTGGCCGGACTAAACGGCTCCCCATTCTGGTATGTTGCCGATAACATCGTCGCTTGATTCTGTCTTAGTGATCGAGCTTCGTTAAGCGCGCTTGGTGTGCAGGTTGGCGAGTGCGATATTAATTGGCGTCGTTATTCGGTTGCGGCGGCAAGTATGTTCGCAAAGTATGTACAGCGAAAGATGAACGTATCCAGACGGTTCGGTCAAAGGTAATAGATGCTCCAGGCAAAATGAAAAGGAGAGGAAGGAAGCGAGGGATTGTACTACTGCATAGGCGCGAGTCGTAATGTTGTGTGATGGCTGCTAACGGTGATCGTGTAACCCGTCGTGGAAGTAAAGATTATATTGAAGGAAGAGCCCGGCTCGACCTTGTACAAAAAAGAAGAAGAAGAAGACGTGAAGTGTGCACGACGGTGTCGTGGCCGAAAGAGCGAAGGCGCAGGTGGGGGAAAGACAGTGGTGCAGCTTGAGGCAGGTATTAGGCACGATGCGACACCTACTATATTCACTCTCCGTCTCAATGACATCTCTGCCACCGCCATTATGGAGCAGTGCCACATCACGATCCCATGCGCCAGCCTCAAACCAAAGATTCCGCCATCTGTAGCGGCTAGCCCGCCGGCAACGTTGTGACACTTCGCGTGTCACAAACTCGTGGGTCCACGCCGGAGCATCTGCCAAACATAGAACGACGCTTCACCCCAAACCGCGATCTTGACACAGATCACAACGGCCCAGAAGTTCCTGTCATCCTGTCTTCGCAGGCACGCTCCACAGCATGGCCACACCGCTGGATTGACAGAATCCTTCGATGACCCTGAGGTTCATGGTCGAGAAGCGCTCGCTCACCGACGGGTCTCAGTTATCGGATCATACCGACACCCTCCGTGTTTGATCCACACGTCGTTTACAAAGCCACAGCGGGTACTACAATCAAGGGGAATTGTAATCGTGATTCAGGACGAATCGCATCACCACAAAAGTTATGCCATCTGTCGGCTGTACTAGCGAAATCTTTTGGAGGACGAAACGACCCAACGGGGCTTAGTCCGCAGCCAACAGTAATCGGTTGCTTCGAATCTTCATCTGGTACAGGAGAGTTTTAGACGAGACAGCTGACTCCTCGCTAAATGTAGACCTCTTTGACACGTCTACCGGGCGATTGCGGACTGCATGACATTGCTGCCGTTAGTACCGATGGCCCACAGACCTCATACGCCACGCATGGCTAAGACATGGGATGGAAATGTGGCAAGCGTGTACGGGACATGTCGCGTGGAACATTGGGTGAAGTGGGCTCATAACCGCTACCGACATGGTTGCAGGGCCCGTCTCCGTGTCGTTTCTGTCCACTCACAGGCAAGCGACTGTGTGTTTGCCTCAGGGCTCAAGCTGGTTGCTGAAACTCGCGCATGATAACAGCCTGCCCAGGCACTATTTCTCACTAAGCGTACGAGAGCCTCAACTGCCGATGTCCTGGAAGCTGGACGCATTGTTGTGCGCTGGCAAGTGGGGTGCGGTCCGAAGCGCAAGAAGTAACCAGGCGCTTGTGGCTGTCATGTCGCCGGCTTGGTGTAGAAGGTTAGTAGTTAGCAGAAGAATCATGCCTGAGCGTATGCAGTCGGAAGTATCGATGTTTCGTTGGGTATGACTTTACAGTCTTTTGATATTCATCACATATCGTGGTATCTAGTGAGGTCGTAACGAAAAGAAATTCGACAAGCCAGACGCTTATTGGAGAGCCTTGCGAGCAAAGGTGGGCAGAACGAAAGCCGCCTCGTGGATCTCCTTGCTGTAGTACCTGCAAAGCTGCTCCTCCTCTTCGGTAGACCAGCTGCGAAGGGGCTTCTTGAGGTCGCGGTTGGCGTCCTTGCTGCAAACCATGAAACCGATCTGGCCGGAGGGGTAGGTGGGGATGGTGGTGTAACCGTACTCGACGTTGGGGAAGACCTCCTTGCAAGCCTTCTTGAGGTTGACAATGAGGGGCATGTGAAGCCATTGGTTCTCGGCTATACAAGAATGTTAGCCATTGACCAAAGCAGCACCTTTCCGGCGCATGGCGGTCGAAAAGTGGACGTGAACTGAGTGGACTAGGAGAGGGCTTACAACCTTGGGTGGTAATGACACCGCCTTCGCGGAGCGCACCGTTGAGCAACTCGAAGTAGGACTTCTGGAAGAGAGCCTCGGCGGGACCCTCTGGGTCGCTGGAGTCGGTGATGATGACGTCGAACTCGCCCTTCTTGTCCTCGAGGAACTTGAAGCCGTCGCCGACGATGGTGGTGGTCTTGGGGTGCTCGAAGCCGACAGACATGCCGGGGAGATATTGCTTGGAGAGGCGGATGACAGCCTCGTCGATGTCGCAGAGGGTAGCCTCCTTGACACAGTCGTGCTTGACGACCTCACGGAGGACACCACCGTCACCACCGCCGATGACCAAGACCTTCTCGGGGTTGGGGTGGGCGTTCATGGCCAAGTGGGTGATCATCTCCTGGTATCTGCTCTACTATTAACCATTGTCCGCGTATTCCCATCCGGTTGTGACGTACGAGAACTCATCGCGCTCGGTGCATTGGATGACGTTGTCGAGGACGAGGACGGTGCCGTAGTTGGTCGACTCGAAGATGAGGACGTCCTGGTACTTGCTCTTCTCGTGGTGAAGAACCTCCTTGACCTGGAGGGTCATGGCCTGGCCGGGCCACATGCCGGAGATCTCGCGGAACCAGCCATCTATACCGAATGTCAGTAATTCAAAGGGTGTGGTTGTATGACTGCTGTAAAAGTCGAGTTTACTTACCCTTGATGGTAGGGTGTTCAATGGCAGGCATCTTGAAGGGTTTGTAGGTGGAAAAAGGTGTATAGAGTAAAGGTGATCTACGGGAGTAAACAGAAGATTGACAGAGCTGTCGCCGGATATATATGGGGACCTTCAGGTTGGCGGAGTTTTTCCTGGTGTTTGCGTTGGGCACAATTTTCTAGGCCTATGCACGTCACTGGTCGCGCGCGCCGTACCTGCCCCGCCATCCCCCACCATCATCCCGGGAAGGTCCAGCCGCAAGGCATCTGTATTGGGTAGCATTATCTCCATCTCACGTCTGCACTTCATACTGCCATCCCACGTCCCTTTTTTGCGTGATGTTCGCGGGCAGACGGCGCAGATGCGACACCGAGTTGATGTAGAGGGTGGCTAAAGCAGTGCTGACAACGAGGGCGGCCGTCAGCCTGCAAGTGCAAGGTTCATACTAACACGCAAATGGGTGTAGACTGCAGATAGGAGGAGCATAAAGAGCCGGGACGCAACGCTCACAATGAGATCAACACGTAGTTTCATTACCACTGGGTATCACTCAGAAGCGGCCCAAACATGACCGAAGTTGTCCCAGTGCAAGACCCAGCCCAGGAGGAGCGCAGCAGAGTAGAGCAAGTTGTCGCGACCAAGGCATATGTGAAGGACCCTGAGCTACTGCCATGGTACACGAAGGAATTGGAAGAGCCTAGTCCGGAAACGCGAGATCTGTTTGAAAAGTACAGCAAAGTACGACCAGCGGACATCGTCACGCACATCAAACGTGTGAGAGATGAAGCATTCTCGGTCGTGAGTCTATTCTGCCATACATAACAAGAGCGAGCTGCACTGACGATCTTGTAGTTCCCGTATCCTTGCTTGGGAAATTGGGGTTTCTTGAACTTTTCCATCGAGAAGAACCCAGCCTACCAGGAAGTCCTCAGTCGCATCAAGGAGGGGGAGCAATTCCTCGACCTTGGATGTTGTATGGGGCAGGACATCCGCAAGCTGGTCCACAACGGCGCGCCCTCCGAGAACACGTACGCGTCCGATGTCAAAACAGACTTCTGGGGCTTTGGCTATGATCTGTTTCTCGACAAGTCAACTCTGCAGACACAGTTCATGGAAGCCGACATCTTCGATGTCAACTCGGAGCTGAAGCAGGTAGACGGCAAGATCGACATGATCAATGCCGCCTCGTTCTTCCACCTGTTCGATTGGGACGGTCAGGTCAAAGCAGCTAAGCGCGTGGTCCAACTGTTGAGGCCAGTGGCTGGAAGTCTCATCATTGGACGCCAAGGTGGCAAGCCTGAAGCCGGCAGCTTTTCACACCTCATGAAAGAGCAGACTGCTTTTTGGCACAATCCAGAGTCCTGGGCGAGCTTGTGGAAGCAGGTCGGGGAGGAGACTGGAACGAAATGGAAGGCGGAAGCTGTGCTTGGTGAAGAAGATCTATCGAAGAGGATGAAGACGACGCTTGTGCCTGCCGGTACAAGGTTCATGACCTTTACTGTACGTAGGGTGTAGATGGTTTCCGGTGGATGTAGAATTTGGGATAGATAGACATGATCGTGGCTGCTACATGGGGATTGCGGAGCAACAGCCAATGAGCGTCATCCAGGGTCCGAGCAGACAGGCCAGACTCAATCTGGCTTCAACACCATTGCATCTCCAATCCACAGCCCATTAATACCAAATCTTCCTGTCGCTCACCCAATTAACCCGCCTAACACATACATTCACCATGGACCCCTACTCGCCCGAAGGAGGTTCGTCAAATCGCCAGCCACGCCAGCTCAAGCCCCGCTAACGACCGTCCAGAGCTCATAAACATCCACTCGGCCTTCCATGCCGGCGCCTACCAGCAAGTCCTCGATTTCGACACGTCGTCCTTTTCCGCGTCAAACGCGCTGCCTGTTCGCGTCCTCAAACTCCGCAGCCAAATTGCGCTGGGCCAAGCACAAGCCGTTTCCAGCGAGCTCGCATCTGAGAAGACACCAGATCTGGTCGCAGTAAAGCTACTAGCAGACTATGAGCAGGGCAAAGACGTAGTGGACCAGGCGAAGAAGCTGGCAGAGCAACACGGACAGGAGAACCTGACGGTGCAGCTTTGCGCGGGCATCGTCTTGGAGAGGGCGGGCGAGACAGAGGCTGCGCTTGATGTACTGAGCAAGCACCAGGGCAGCTTGGATGCGTACGTTGGACATTCCCTCTGCGTGGACTATCCTAGGAATCATGGCTAACATGCGAAAAGGGTAGCACTCATTGTACAAATCCACCTCCAACAAAACCGCACAGATCTGGCTGCAAAAGAGGCTCAGCGCGCACGGAAATGGGCACAAGACAGTCTGCTAGTAAATATTGCCGAGAGTTGGGTTGGCATGCGCGAGGTAAGTCCCTACATCGACTGTCACATGCCATAACACTGACACCACTCAGGGCGGCGAGAAGTACCAGTCCGCTTTCTACGTCTTCGAAGAACTAGCCACAACCGCTCAATCCACCTCCCCACACTCGCTCGTCGCACAGGCCGTATCGGAGATCCACCTTGGCCGCCTCCCAGAAGCCGAAGCCGCTCTCCAACAAGCCATTTCCATCGACGGCACCTCGGCCGACACAATCGCAAACCTCATCGTCCTCAACACACTGCTCGGAAAGAAGGAAGAGACTGAGCAACTAAAGTCACAGCTGCAAACCTCCGCCCCACAGCACAGGGCAGTCGCAGACTGGGCGAGCAAGAAGGCCGAATTTGCCAGTGCCGCCGCAAAGTACACACCAAAGTTTGAAGTTGCTTCATAGGAGGAGGACGCCTTTGCGCATTTGGTGTCTACAGGAGTGGTGTATCAAGACGTGGATGCTATTGAGCCCAACATCAGGCCTGGAGAGACAACATTCGACAGCGCTACTTAGGATAAGCGGGATGCCACGATTGTGGAACGAGAAATAACGAATATGTGGATGCATCCGACGGTGCAAGACTTGGAGGCTGCCGGCACGTGGGCATCCGATAGCGATGATGAAAGTCAGGAATATCATAAGAACAAATAGACGACATTGCAAACAGGTGCCTGTAACGCACATGCAACAGTTTGGAACGGAATTGGTTGCAGTGCAGACAATCGTCATCTCTACACCCCTTTGACATTCCGGATACCATACAAGCATGCTACTGTCTACCCATGTCACTATTGTCTCTAGCAGCTGTCAAAGCTACCTGGATATTTACTCAACGAATCCCTCCGGGTACAGAGAAGAGGGACGATTCAAAAGCACTTAGAGTCCTTCGACTAACTCAGCTGTACACCAGAGTGTGGGGGCGAAAGTAGGTATACCTCAGCCTTGCATGATATCTCGAATCCATATCAGGAAGGCCCGTGTACCAGGGTCCTTCACAGTCACTGTGGGGTAAACGTCACGATAGCATAGTCCATCCACTCCACGTCGACAAACGGAAAAATACAAAGTGTGTCTAATCACAACATCTGTAGCCTCATCTACTGTCTTGTTCCATAACCTTTCCACACTGACAAGGCTGAATGTACCTAGGTAGGCAGCCCCTCGTGTAACACACATCTGTGACATCACACCACTTACGCCCGTCAGCACTTGAGCCTCACCCCGCAAACAGCCAGCCGACACCACGCATGCCCACCTAGTTTAAAGACCTAGCTTCCCAGCAACCCGGGTTTAGAAGCAATGACCCACCGCCATCCCAGGGCTAGTAGCATACCGCCAGCTCCGCGGCTCCCATCATGTCTTCGCTACTAGAATACCGACCTCTAGCTCAGGACGAGTTTCGGCTGCTCATCCTTATCCCTGCAGTGTCGATAACAGCTCCACTCAGAGTGCACGTCTTCCACGATAATGTGTACAACCCCGAAGCATCCTACGCCGCACTATCGTATACATGGGCGTCCAAGCTTGAAGGCAATGACGACAGCAACGATGTACTCGAGTCTGTGGATGTGGACGGACACGAGACGTTTCTGCACCAGAATCTAGCCAAGGCACTGCGGTCTATTCGCCGTGAGGTCCCGCAGTGTATCTGGGCCGACGCACTATGTATAGACCAAAACAACATCCCAGAGCGCAACGTCCAAGTCACGCTCATGCGGCAAATCTTCTCCAACGCAACGAATGTGTGGGCTTGGCTGGGACCGCCGGCGAAAGGGAGTAATCTAGCCATGGACTTCCTCGCCAATCTAGCCAGTCGCTCTGACGAAGAAGGCATCGGCCCATGGCTTGGAAACGAAGGCATGCACCCAGATACATACCCCACATGGGAAGGTCTCCGAGCCCTAATGGCGCGAAACTGGTGGAAAAGAGCCTGGATAGTACAAGAATTCGCGCTAGCAAAAGACGTAGTCTTCATCTGCGGCACGCGCCGCGTCTCCGCTGACGCCCTCGAAGCAGCCGACCACCTCATCTTCATGGAATTCACGCCTTCGAAGAACGAACGCGTGACGGCTTTAACGCGCGCCGTGGATATCAACCCCCGCGTTCTCGATCCAGCGCGGAATCTCATGAGTCTGCGCCGAAGACTACAAGAAGGAGAACAGCTTTCCGCGTTAGCGACGCTGCAGATGACGAGATTGACGAATGCGACGGATCCGAGGGATCATTTGTTTGCCAAGATAGGACTCTCTGGGATGGAGTTGGTGCAGTTGTGTCCGCCGGATTATAATGCCCAGGCGGAGGATATCTGGTTCACGTTCCTCAAGGAGTTTATACGGCAGAAGCAGGATCTTTATGTCATTTGTCTGGCGGGGATGCAACCGCGGACGAAATATGCATATGCACTCCCGTCATGGCTGCCCGATTGGGGGCCGTCGAAACCGCAATATATGCTCTGCTCGCTTTTCACGGGGAAGCAGTGGCCGTTCTTTGATGCGGCGAGTGGCGCGGCTGCTGTTGCTACGATTTCGAGCGAGAAGATGGAAGACGGTATCTTCCTCAGGTGTAAGGGACTTGTGGTCGATACGGTTGATGGCGTCGCAGGCGATCCGTGGTGGACAGACAGACCGACGTCTCTCCGCCAGTCGAAATGTAAGAAGAACGCGTATGGAACACAGGTCGGTGCGTTTGAAGCGTTATTGAGGACAGTCACTGCCCACACGAATCGTATGGGTGCTTGGGGCGCGCCTCCACGGGAATTCAACACCATTTTCGCGAAACGGTGGCATGAGCTGAGGGATACGACGGCACCGTACGAAGCTGACAACACTCTCCCTCTTCCCCTCCCGTTCTACATGCGCGCGTCAGGTTTCGAGCGTGCATGGCGCAGTATGCGCAATCTGAAGTTGGATGGCGTGGAACTGCACGAGCATGTTGAAGCTGGGCTGATAGACGCACAGAACAAAGCGCAGGCGTCGAGTGTGGGATCCTCAGAGGAAGGGCACGAATTTGATTTCTCGGTCCCAGCACCGTTTCACCCGCTGTGGACTGCGCTTGAGCATAGCGCTGGTCAGGTTTGCTACGAAAGGTTTGTTTATACTACTGAGGGAGGGTATCTTGGGGTTGGTTCTTCTACTGTAGAGCCGGGGGATAAGGTTGTTGTATTTCTGGGGTGTAAGGTACCCGCGGTGTTACGGCCGCTTGAGAAAGGAGGATACCAGCTTATTGGGGAGACTTATCTGGATGGCATCATGTATGGTGAGATGACAAAAGAATTAGGGAAGGAGGGGTCTGCTGTGCTGGTTGAGGATCTTGATATCTTTTAGGTGTAAAGTGTCGTTTTTGTTGTGCTTCCTTGGTTGATAGCTGCATCCATAAAATGCACGACTGGCAGTACGACGACTAATCAAGTAGCTACTGTGTATTGGCAGGCTGTCGCGAGGCTTTGAGAATCGGAAGCGGGATCTCAGCCCTAACAATGTGCGCCAACGGTCTCTACCATACAGGCCATTTCTCAAACTGTTTTGTCAGCTGCTGGAAGTCAAACATGTCCATGCGGGCATCTTCAGTACTGTCAGCGTGCAAGACCTTGGGACCGTTTGGAGAGGTCTTAGTTAAGGCCGCCCACTATCCTCAGACTCAGCCTGAGGCACGCCGCCAGAATACTAAGATCACCACTACATCGCGCGAACAAACACCGCGTCGGCCCCGCGTCTGCGAAAAAAGGCGGATCCAGATAGATACGCAAGATCCACGTGAAGCGATTAGATAGGTAATCTTAGAACATCCGCATGCCCGCGCCGCCACGCCCGAGCGGTCAACGGCATGCGCAATTTCTACCAAAACCCTTGCATACACAGGATGATATGTACGTGCCGTGCATACGGGAAAGTCATCTTCCTGACAGCAACCCGTGCGGCATGCGTGCGCAGCTGCACGCAAGGCAAGCCAGCCAGGACCTGATCGACGCGCCACGCGCATTTAGCGGTAGATCAACCACGGCACCGGATCTGATGGAATTTCACCACACCTTCGCAGCGCGCGCCTCCATCACCGCAGTCCGAGAAGACCACACTCTCCGGATGGGCGGTAACAGACGCATAAAGAGCGCGTAGGAAGGGATAATCCCACTTCTAATAACACATCATACAATCGCGTTATCTGACACGTAACTTGCTGAGACAAGGGGTTGCATACCTGCAACTCCAACTGTTAGTGGCGCCCGGGAGCTGATACATCCGGAGCTCGACAGCTCCATCTTGGAACGAAGCTTAGCCTGGCTTGCCAGCCAATGCGGGACAGGGTGTGTCTCCATCGGTCTGCAATTTGCAGCTACCTATGCCCGTTGCGGTAATGTGGGTGGCTGATTCTGGGACGGATTCGGTATCCTGGAGTGCAGTTGATGGGTCCTGCTGCACGGCGCATTTTTCTGTGTGTTGCGGCCAGAGAGGGCGCGTTCGGCGGCCGAACGTAGGGAATGGGTCGTAGAGATCCCGCGCCGCAAATTTGCCTTGCGGGTGGACTTGTGGAGAGGGAGATTTGTATGTTTGTTTGCCGCTGTTCGTGAGATTTGTTTACTTGGTCTTGCGCGCTGAACTTGCGCATACGTTCGCTCGTTCGTTGTCCTTCGCTGTACATTTCCCGAATACCACGCTACCCAAAGTTTCCGCTCCGTCCGCTTTCGGGACCGCCACGCTAGAAGCACATCGTCATGTCTGAGGTTAAGATAGACACCGACAGCGCGTTCGACGTGCAAACACCATTGCTCGAGAAGAAAAAGATGGTTGTAGGAGTACCGCCGGTGTTTGAGAGCCTCACGAAGCAGCTCGACAAGATTGTAGAGCAGCCACTACTCGGCCCGAAGACCAAGTTCCCCGCAGGTAGGAAACCTACAGAGTTCTGGTGGCGAATGTAAATTGACCAGCTGGATAGCTACGTTTGCGTTTGCGCGTAAAGATGTGTCAGGCAGGCGGCTACCGCAGGCTATTGCCCATCGAGGGTACATGGCTAAACACCCCGAGAACACTATGGCCTCGTTAAGAGGAGCGGTCGAGGCAGGCGCAGATGCTCTTGAGACCGACATTCATCTGACGAAAGATGGTGTAGTCGTATTGTCGCATGTGAGTTTATCAGATCTTACCCCGATCGTATACTGACTCTTGTGTAGGATAGAAACTTGAGAAGATGCTTTGGCAGGCCCGAAAAAGTTATAGATTGCGACTATGAGTTTATAAGCAAGCTGAGAACGCTGCAAGCACCTCATGAGCCAATGCCTCGTCTTATTGATTTGCTCGAATATCTTGCGCAACCTGGGTTGGAAGACATCTGGGTTTTGCTCGACATCAAGGTATGTTGTACTAGCCGAGTTGTACAAGCACTTGCTGACGCGATACAGCTGGATAACGATGCCGACGATGTGATGCGCTTGATTGGTGAAACAATCAACAGCGTGCCTGCTGCTCCATCCAGACCGTGGAGTAAGCGCATTGTCCTTGGATGCTGGGCAGCCAAGTTTCTTCCGCTGTGTTCGCGATATCTGCCCGGCTTCTCGATTTCGCATATTGGCTTCTCAACACTCATTGCGTCACATTTCTTCAGTGTGCCGAACGTCTCGTCCAATATGGCCCAGGCCATTCTCATGACGCCATGGGGCAGGATGTTCATACGGCGAGCTCAGAGCGACGGTCGGCCCGTGTACGGATGGACGGTGAACTCGGAGAGCCGGATGCGTTGGGACATACGGCAGGGCCTTGACGGCGTGGTGACGGACGACCCGAAGCTATTTCTGGAGATTCGGAGGTCATGGCACGAGGGAACCAAGGACGGCGTGACGTTGTTGATGTGGCTGGATGTGCTGCGGTACAACTTCTTCTGCTTGATCTATACCTTCTTGTTCCAGTGTTATTTTGGGTTCCAGGGCAAGTCGTTAGTCAGGATAAGGGAAGAAGAGGAGGAGCAGTAGATTAAAGTACGCACCTCGTACAAGAAAAAGACTAAACAGGTCTGCAGGCTACATTAAACTAAAACCTTGCAAAGTAGGTGATCTAACGTTAACATAGGCTCTAGGCTGTTCAGTTTTTTCCTAGGTTGGCGTGTACGCGGATATTAACAACAACCTTTTATGGGTAGTGGTAATGTAGCGATTATTGCGGTGGTGTCAAGGCAATGGTGTTGTGGAGAGAGCTATGACGGCAGGGTCCAAACATTTGGCGACCCGACGCGTGCACCCCGCCCAGAGCGCGTTCGCATCCCACCACGTCGCCGACCACCACCACCATGCCTAGGTACGCCCGCGTATATCTCAGACTGCGGTCACATGGTGTAGCTAATCTGTATCAGAGAAATAATAACACTGCAGGCGGGCCAGTGCGGCAACAGCGTCGGGCAGCAGTTCTGGCAGCAGCTGTGCCAGGAACACGGCATCAACCGCGACGGCAACCTCGAGGACTTCGCGACCGAGGGCGGCGACCGCAAAGACGTATTCTTCTACCAGTCCGACGACACCCGCTACATCCCCCGCGCCATTCTTTTAGATCTCGAGCCCAGAGTCCTCCACTCGATCCAGTCGAGCGCCTACAAGAACATCTACAACCCCGAAAACTTCTACATACACAAGGATGGCACCGGCGCCGGCAACAACTGGGGCATGGGCTACAGCATGGGCGAGCAGGTGCACGAGGACATCCTGGACATGATTGATCGCGAGGCAGACGGCTCCGACTCGCTCGAGGGCTTCATGATGCTGCACTCCATCGCTGGCGGCACGGGATCGGGTCTCGGCTCCTACATGCTCGAACGCCTCAACGACAGATTCCCCAAGAAGCTCATCCAGACCTACAGTGTCTTCCCCAACACGCAGGACGGCGACATAGTGGTCCAGCCATACAACAGTCTGCTGAGCATGAGGAGGCTGACGCAGAATGCAGACTCCGTGGTAAGCTGCCCAGTGGTACTTGCATCTATTCATACTGACCTCCCAGGTTGTCCTCGACAACGGAGCCTTGACTAGGATCGCCGCAGACCGACTGCACGTTATGAACCCGTCGTTCGAGCAGACCAACCAGCTGGTGTCCACCGTCATGTCCGCCAGTACCACCACCCTTCGCTACCCCGGATACATGCACAACGATCTCGTTGGAATCGTCGCATCGCTCATTCCCACACCGCGCTGTCACTTCCTCATGACTTCATACACCCCCTTCTCTGGCGAGAACGTAGAGCAGGCCAAGACAGTCCGCAAGACAACCGTCTTGGACGTCATGAGACGACTGTTGCAGCCTAAGAACCGCATGGTCTCCACCAACCCCACCAAGAAGAGCTGCTACATGTCCATCCTGAACATCATCCAGGGAGAAGCAGACCCATCAGATGTGCGTCTCTCCCCATTGATCGTTCCAACTTAGCTCATTGACTCTCAGGTACACAAATCGCTTATGCGCATCCGCGAACGACGTCTCGCTACCTTTATACCTTGGGGCCCCGCCTCCATTCAAGTCGCGCTGACCAAGAAGTCGCCCTACGTGACCTCTTCGCACCGCGTCTCCGGACTCATGCTCGCAAATCACACGGGCATCGCCACGCTCTTCAAGCGCATAGTCGCACAATACTCCACCCTCCGTAAACGCAACGCCTTCCTTGAAAGCTATAAGCGTGAAGTGCCCTTCAAGGATGGTCTCGGCGAGTTCGACGAAGCTAAGGAAGTCGTTCAGGGTCTGATTGCAGAATACGAAGAGGCTGAGGATGCCGATTACTTAACTAAAGAGACGGCGCCGCCTGCGGATGAGGAAGCTGACAAGAGAGTCGGCTAGAAGTCACCTGAGCAATTATTGGATTTGGTATCGGCGTCATTGGATGGTGCAGTGGAGTCAAGGGTACCCGACTTTGAAATCTCTTTCGAGGCGTTGGCGGACACACGACGTAGGTCACAGATTTGCCGTCGGTGGGGAGTTCGTTCATCCTCGTTTTAAATCAATCGTTGTCCTGATCGTGGTCATCATATTCGGATCTATCACGGGTATTGCAGTTTCTGTGAGCGCAGACTTTTAAGAGAAGGCATACGGAGTTTGTACGCAAGAGCTACGGTGTCATATGGCTAGTAAAGGTAAAAGCCTTCATTTTTTTCAAATCTGGTTCGCTCTAGGCAACAGTCTACTTTCTGGCCTATCCAATGTCGCTCAATTATCTGTGAGATTCGAGTGGTTGACCTGGTGACTCAACTATAGAACCTTGGGTGAAGGTGAGAGAGCAAAAAATTACTGCGCGCTATCTCTCAGGCAATAAATAACCTCTAACCAGACTTTTACTTCCTCGCACCTTCCTTCTCCACAGCGGAACTACTACTTGTTTAACTCGACCTGCCACGACTTTTACCACCTCAACAATTCTCTCAGTATGTCATCTCCACTGTTGCTCCCAGAAGACACCGTCAAGCGTCTCCAAATCAGAGACGCGTCTCTTGTCGGCGGGGAGAACAACGGCACTAGAAAAATCTCCCTCGGCCTCCTAAGCCCGCCATCGTCAACTACTTCAAGAAACGCGTCCAACTCGTCCTCATCTTCGGAAGAAGTCGTGTACATCTCTATTCCAACTCGACTAGATTCCGCGCAGACTCTCGAGTTCATGGGGCTGACTCCAGATAAATCAAAAGAACTATACGCCAGCAGACAACACAGGCAGCAGATTACGCACACGAACATCGACTTACAACGATGGGTAATCGAACACGTCGTCTACATATGCGCAGACATACTTGACGAGGATGATGATTGGAAAGAGAAGATGACAGATGCCGGTATCAAGCAAGAAATTTCTGACGCCCTTATGAAAGACGAGCACCGTGTGATCCGGGGAGTTCAGTCGTTATCCGAGTGGCTTGAGGAAATTCTTGAGACAAATTATCTCGCACTGGTAGATATGAACGCCCGCATATTACAAGAGCTAGCAGCCCCACCAAGTGTACATCTGAAGGGAGGAGCAGGCGAGCCGTACACCGTACCCAACGCACCTGAAGGTCATATTGCGCTGTTCAAGAGCGTCGAGTTCAGGCGATGCGCAGGATGTATAGCCGAAGATGGATCGTTGAACCTTGCACGACTGGAGTCCACCGGACCAACAGACTTCGCAAGACGAGGAGGACTCTATTTCACTCATGAGATCTGGGTCTCGAACCACTATTCATCGCTGATCACTGACGCTTGTCCGGTCGCTGATCGACGGACAGTCGAACTACACGTTCCGCTATCCCATCTTACAAAGATGAAGGTTTGGGATCTGAAGTTCGAAGATGACAACTTCAAGCAACTGTTGTTCTTCTCAAGGCGCGAAGAGAAGTACCCGAAGCCGATCTCACAATTACGCGCTGCTCACGGAATCATCGCCGGACCTATTGGTCATGCTCACAATCTAGCCTTTGGAAAAATGAAGAGCTGGAAGGATATTACTGAAAAGCATCAGCTCCAAGAGCGGGAGACGGTCGTCGATGGCAAAGGCAACGAGAAGGAGATTGTGAAGTACGGCAGACAATGGGTTTGGATTGGCGAGAACTCCGTTGAGCAGCTTGAGGAGGATTGCAGGGACAAGGTGTATCTGCGTCGGCCAGAGCAGGGCCTCAAGTTAGTGCCCCAACCTTGGAAAGACGAGTCCGCGAAGGGCAAGGGTATCATGAAGTAGCTAGCTCTTTGTCCATGACAGAGTCATACTTGGCGGATCTCTGGAGGTACGAGCCTTCTCCCGTGTTGAGCCGGGTATATAAGCTCACTTCTTTGCGCTCTACTCTCATAAACTTCAAGAAACTGGTTCTTCTCTCAAACATGCAAAAAGCTTAGGTCAACGCTCCATGTAGATCGTTCCGTGCTGGTGCCTATTCTATATAAACCTGGTTGAATTCTTCATGTTGTGACGGGCGGGTTGGCCTTAAAATCCCTTTTGTATGGTAGCGAGCGCATGCTAATCGATCCTTCGAGGTCTACCAAGGACCGCCTATTCAAGGCAACCATTCCACTGACTGTATGGTTGTAGGCGTGTAGCTAATGGACCGTGGTACTGTGACTGGAAAGCTGTGGTGATTGTCATTCTCTTGCATCTCTGTCGCTGACCCAAATCACTTCAATGGACAACCACAGGTCAGTGCGTTGAATCCCACGAGTGAACAGCAATGCTTCACTCCTACACGTATAAAGTGTACGCAGTTTTCTCCTTGCAAAAAATACCTTCGTAGCAAGTCAACTGTGCCTACTAATCTACGACAACGCTCACTGCCAAATCAACCAATAACAGAAATACACAACACCTCGTAGGAACAGTCCAAGACACAAAGCTTTCCCCCAGGATGTTCGCGTTAAGCATCCGCTCCATCACCAACTCTAGAGTTGTTGGCCCCCTAGCCATCTTCGCCCTATCCACGCAAACCCGCACCCTTTACTTCTGCGGTCCTAAGCAAGGCGATCACGATGCAGACCTACCCATCTCCGAACACTACCACGCGCGTCTACGAGCATCAGATCCAAAACCAAGATCCACCGCAGACTCGGCACCAACCACTACGCCCACCCGTCCTACTCCTCCACCCACTCAGCCTACCACTACAACAGACACAATCCCCACCCTCCGTATCTCCGTTACGCACGTGCCACCAAACCTATCAGCCCGGCATACAATGCCGTCTGCCAACAAGCTTGAGAACTCTAGGAAGGCGTTTGGGCAGCTGGAGGCAGCAACTCACGATGGGACTACAGACTACAACAACACCCTTGCCATTATCCGGGAGATTGCAAGGCTCCAGTTTGAGCTGAGGAGGGGCCAGGTGGAGGGTAAGCCTTTTGAGGAGTTAGAGAAGATTAGGAGGGAGATCGAGGATTTGAGGAATGCGTTTGAGAGGATTGGGAGGAGATGGGGTATCTAGGCTTCACGTTAACCAAGAAAAAAGGTTGAACAGGCCTGCAGCCTACATTGACATGTAAGCGTACAGAACAGATGACCTGGCGTTGATGAAGGCTCTAGACCTGTTCAGCTTTTTGCTTGTATGAGGTGGCTTGAGGAATATAGGGCGGTGTTGGAGATTGTGGATATGTGTGGTTCTATAAAGGATGGTTGCACAGTAGCTTTGGGGGATGGAAGTCTTGAGATTACCATGAAAGTCATATTTGAACAGAAATGAACGTTCTTCGAAACTAAACCAGAATGCAAAACGATGAGTGGTATACAGCACATTTTCCACCTCCTTCCAACGCAAAAACAACGCCTCTCCAAGCCTCAATGCTTCTCATATCCATGCAGCAATCATACATCCCCCTCACGCCCCATCCTTATAGCCCAACCCCCCAGCCTTAACATCGAACTCAATCAACTCATCCAGCCCACAGACCTGGAACAACTCCCGCGGGCCATACCTCTTCCCATCCTCCTCCACACTCTCCACATGCCCCGCCTTCATCTGCTGTACCGCCTTCCTAACCGCGGGATACACAACCTCGCAGGCCAGCAGCGGGAAAATAGCAAGTTTATACCCCATGGCCTTGCATTCTTCGACAGAGAAATCAGGGGATACGCCGCCGGGTACGCTGTTGAAAAGACAAGGTGTGGGAGATAGGTCTGAGCATATGCGCTGCGCGTCTGAGGCGGTTGTCACGCCTTCTAGGAACGCCACGTCTGCGCCTTGCGCGACTGCCGCACGGAGACGTCGGAGGGCTTCTTCGTATCCGAATCCTTGCAACGCGTCCGTTCGAGCGATGATAACGATGTCACCGCCACTTGCCTCCCGCGCTAACCTCGCAGCCCGAATCCTCGCTTCAAACTCCTCGATATCGACGAGTTGCTTGCCGTTTAGGTGTCCGCACCGCTTACTCACGATTTGGTCTTCGAGGTGCAGGCCCGCGACGCCCGCGCGGATGTACGAGGTTACTGTGCGGCCGACCATGACGGGCCCGCCGTAGCCGGTGTCTGCGTCGGCGATTAGGGGGGTCGAGGGCGAGAGGGAGGCGAGCATTGTGGCGTTGGTGAGCATGTCTGTGAAGGTGGCTATGCCCATGTCGGCGGCGCCGAGGCGGGACATTGTTGTTCCTGCGCCTGTCTGGACATGTGTTAGTTGGATCGGTTTGGTGTTGTTTGATATTGTGAGGGAGATGTTGGTGGATATGGAGATGGGGGAGACGTACCATGTATAGACAGTCTACGCCTTCTTGGAGGGCTATCCGCGCTGTGAAACCATCGTATACTCCGGGACAGGATAGGAACTTGTTTGGATCCGCGAGCATGCTTCGCAGTTTCTCGACGGCCGTCATCTTCCTTTCTGTTTGTCCTGCTTTGCTGGATCCCATATTGCCTTCTCTTCTTTCGCTTCGATGATGCCGATAACCCGACTCTTTATTGTGTACGCGCAACCAACTCTTTCTTAATACCAAAAAGAGCAAATTCAATCAATTCAAGGGGTACAATGTCCTCGTCAGGCATCAAAACGAGCAAGAAGGTACACCCGACAGCCTGACTTTAGCCCGCTGAGACTCGGCGTCTTGCGTATACACTGTGGCGGGCCGCAACAAGTAAGGCTGGGCTACCCACGAATAGTCGACCAGATGCGGAAGCGATGGCCTTACGCACCCGTCTGCGAAAACTAGGGAGCCTGTCAACCCGAGAAGCGACCGCGGATTTGGGGAACAGTATCTAATCATTACCGACCGGACCTGACTCCTAAAGACTTACGCGACCTTTATATAGAAAATCTAATAGCTAACCTTAAAATAAGCATTAAAGGGTAAAGAAATAGTAACCACACCACTTCTTTTCAATTGAGAAGAAGCTACGCCGCAGATATGCAGACCCGTCTCCCTCGGCCAAGTACTCCGTAGCCATCTGTTTTGATCAAATATCTTCTTTTTGCGATGGCGAAAGCGAAAACTCCTTTCGGATGAACATTCAACCAACCCTATGGCATCCAAAGTTGTGAAAAGTGCGCAACCCACAAACGTCATATCCACACCCTCGAGACGACGCGCAAAACACCAAGCGAAAAGCCGCAGCCGTGGTGGTGACCACCCCCGCAACAAAGCCCTTGTTCCTGCTGCTGACGTAGTGTGGTGCCGATGTTCGCCGGCAGTTTGACCGGTAGGAGCGCCATGCTTGTCCCTTCTCACTGGTCAGACAAGACTGCGAAATTCAGTTTCGCCGATGTCCATGGTCGGCGCGTTGGAGGCGGGAGGCGATATCGTATGAGATAGGATTTGGAGGATGGAATGCCCCGTTCGGTATGCTGGCCGATGCCGAAGTCTCCTGGGTAGGCGAGCGAGCGCATGGGGGGTTGGTGAGAGGGGTAGACTGGGATTTAAAGTGAGCTGACGGCCGGCATGGCGGTGTCTTTGGTGTTTTGTGTCGGTTCCTCTTTCCTCCTCCACCTGGGTACACGCCTTTGGATTGTGGTGCACAACGCGCCGCTAGTGGCCCATCAGGGTCAGGCTGCGCGAAGAAGGCACTACAGGTGATCGCACCCACGTTTTGCTTTTTGCTGCAAGGTTCGTCTTGTACCTGTCGGACTGTCCCCACTGGAAAGCGAAGACCCTTTGTTATCATATACGCCTTGATAATTCATCTCTATCGCGTTCGGAGTTCGTTCGGTCAGGCCGGCACACCACCCCAGCTCTTTGGCGTCGCGCCTGTTCCCAGGAAGATGCAGCGTGCATCGAAGCGATCGAAAAATTTGCGCCACCGCGATCCGTTCCTGGACTATCGTCTAGTGGTGTGCCGATCCCGCGATCGCGATCCCGAATCCAGATGTCTACGTTTGGGAGGTCTTCGTAGACCGTATGTGGCGTCTTCAATGGACGATCGGGGTAAAGTATATTCCATGGCATTGCGTATCTGAGTAGGTATACGGTATCTGAACGCTTCAACTCCCGCACCAGGCGAGAAACCGCTATTATTACTCTTCCGTCGCGTCCGGTTTATCCCCTCACGCAAGCCCTACAACATCTAACCGTAGGTGTATCCCATGTTCGGTGCGCCTCCAGGCCCTGGTGCTGTCATCATTGGATTCATAGGACCAACCGGCACATTGGGCATTTCCGCATTCGAAAACTCAAATCCGGCCGCCCAGTCGTAATCGGGAAATTGATCAAGCATTGGCGGCACTCCATAGTCGGGACCTTCCCAGGCATCGAAGCTCATTACGGACGGGTCTTGTTGCATCTGAGGATTCACCAAACTGGGGTCGAATTTGGTCACTGGGAGTTGTTGCTGTCTCATCGAGGTATCCGGAAGTTGCTGCTGGTGTTGCTGTGGGTGTTGTTGTTGTTGTTGTTGTTGGGATGGGTATTCTGACATGGTTGTTAGTTAAGAGTCCGTCAGACTTGACGTACGATGCTTACGAGGTGGGTTCTGCTGGACGTTCTCGTGCGAAAGAGTTACTTCGTCGCCGTACGGATTCTTCATGTTGCTGAACTCTTCTCGCCAGTACCAGAACATGTCGTAACTGATGCTCATGCTCAATCGCGTCCTCAACCTCAGATATAGCGATTCCACACGGCCGTCCTTCTTACGGAACACCTTGTCGCTACCCCACAAATCTTTCATGATGTGCGCAGTTCGGAAATGGATATCTCCTGGTTGTAAAGAGACGTTCTTAAGGAAATCATACGCCTGTGAGAAAGCTCGTTCGCCCGCAAGTACATCCAGATGTTGAGCAAGCGGACTTCGAACGAGTCTAAGAATGGTAAATCCAGCCAGAGTGATAGTTCGGTCAATGAATGATTGCGAGACGGAGGGTAGGAAGATCTTTTGTGTCGTCTGCATTGTCGAAGCGGACTGGATAACTGAGATGCAAAGGGAGTAGAATCGTGAAAGACCCTCGGCATCGGGTCCAGGGTTCGTAGGGTGGGCGAAGAAATGGAACGCCATTACGTGAATACGTGCACAGCTGAGTTGCAGGGTATCTATTTCGTCAGCTCAAGCCTCGAAAAAGCCGGGTCAGACTTACCGAGTTCACTTGGAGAAGATGGGGCCAAGCTGAGGAGTTGCGAGTCGAATATGCCAATCAATGATCGTAATACACGGACATCACAATGAATGGATTGTAAGTTGGTCTTACCCATGGCAACCATGGCACGCATGAGGATGATGTAGACTTTGTGCAGGAACTGCAGGTCAGACGGGAGGTATGGAACCATGTCTTCACGGTCTTGTTCATCGCCATCGAAGAATGACTCAGCAAGAGGTGGTATACCTTCAACACAGCTCGTTCTAGATAAGGTTAGCGTATATCACAGTATTACTTCTTTCGAACACCTCACCTTATGGAAACGATGACGCAACACAGCCAGAGCCTGGCGCGTTGCACCTTGAGCGACTGGTCCTTCTCAAGCGGCGTCCTGGCAAAATCCTGGCCGACACCTGCAATGTGCAGACCAATCTGTGTTGCTAGATGCACTGCCGATCCACACATGAGGTGTGTCGTATCTTTGTACATTGAGTTGGTGGGTAGTCGCCATGTGCACAGAATTAGTAGACCTTGGATGATCGGAACTTGTGAGGTGCGCAGCGCCATTGAAGAGAACGCGAGCTGGGTGATGGGCTGGCTCGTCCTCTCTAGGACTTCATGTTCAGAGTACCGCCGCGATCCCGTGACCACGATAGTCCAAAACAAGAACGGCGATTGGTCATAATAGTCATTCGGCCCTATTGAAGGGTCCAAGATAGGAAACAGCGGATGGTATTGGGTGAAGTAACTGCAGTCATGTTAGCATAGATAAGAACGACATCCTGAGTCAACGTACATGGTGAAGCAATCGTCAATTTTCTTTGAATCGAGCAGGTAGCCGTCAATCACACGCGGTACCGTGCCGTGATGATCGGAACCTTTTCGCGTCGGCGGCCGCGAGTCGAAAGCTGGTGACATGGAATCTGATGCATCTGTCC